TAGCTTTTAAAAAAATATTAACGAGTGATGTCTTATTTTAGCTCCAACATCTTGCGCACCAGCCAGAACTCTTCTTTCTCTTGCCATAAGCACCGAGAGACGAGAGCCAGGAATAATTCTGTAAACAATTAATCTTCCATGTACAGAAAGAATATTAAATTACCTCTCAGCCTTCCCTTTTCTATTCTTAATAGTTGCAGTTATTTTCATCTTCCGTCCAAGGTCAGGGAAGTACAAGTAGAATAAGATGGTAACTGGAAAATGTGGCAGAAATGCTAGTGAATCCCAGAGAGATGGACCAGTGTCCCCAGAACACTTACTGAGAGTTCCTAAAAGGAATAAACCTGTGATTAAATAGTGATGGCCTTTTGAAAAAGGCTAATTAGCGGAGGTTTGGGGAGATTTTCCACATAGCAACTACATGCCCATGGATACCCACGGAGCAAACATTAGGCTAAGCGACCCAGTGTAGCTAAGTGAGGCTGGGATGGGGGCCCTGGGGACGTGGGGTATGCACGGGCTCTCTTGGCAGGTGAGCGTGGTGGTCTCCCTTGTTACCATGTTGGCACCATCGGCCTTTGACCTCATTGCCGCCCTGGAGATGTACCACCCACGGACCACTCTGCGCTTCCAGCTGGCAAGGTACGGCAGCCTTGCTGGGAAATGCCCCATCGTGGCTCACCCATTTGCCCACCCACGGTGGGAGCGTAAGCCCCTCAGGAGCCAGGCCTTGCTTCTTTTCTCCATCATGTGCTCAGAGCTTTACCTGCGGGTGCAGCTCAACAAAAGCAGGATACAAGAGAAAGGGGAGGAGGAGGAGGAAGGAAGAAGACCAGGAGGACAGGGAGAGAAGAAATGGATGGAGGGGAAATGAGGAAGAGAAAGCAGAGGAGGAGCTGGGGGAGGAGGGAGAGTGGGAGAGGGAGAGGGAGGAACAGGCGGAAAAAGCAGATATAGACGCGGAGCAAGAAAAGGATGGGAAGTGTGTCTGATTTTTCTTGCTGTTGAGTTCTCTCCGTGGTTCGACTGTGAATGGTGAAAGAGACCCATGTTGTTTTTCCAGACATGAGAGACACAGTTAATGCTTTGCTAAATAATCCCCAAAAGCATAGACTCCAAGGGATTCTTGTGGATATGCCTGGATCCTTCTGGGCCATCCAGGACTGTCAGTACCTATGACAGCAGGTGGTAAATGCAGACCTGAGCAATAGCAAGCTGCTGTGTCTGAGGGGACGTCCTGGGACAGCCCCTGCAGGAGTCCTAACAACCGCCCTCATTTCTAGCACCGGCTTTGCCACTGTTTTCCTGAAAGATCCACCTCTCCTCCCTGGAGCGTGGTCTCCTCATCTGTAGGTTAAACTGACAGCTTTCAGTGAGGTCCTATTAAGTTGCATGTGGCAGAGGAAGGTGTTCAGAGCCCAACCTACTCGTCCCCACCCCACCCCTGTTGACGACGGTTTACTGTGTTTTCTCTTGTGACACCTCACAACAGTCTACAGAACCAATTTCCACAGACCACTTTGGGAAGACTTGCTCTCATTCAGAGTCAGCAAACATCTTCTGGAAAGGACCAGATAGTGAATATTTTAGTTTTTGCAGGTCATCCAGTCTCTGCCGCAACTACCCAGTGCTCAGGTTGTAGCATGAAAAGAGCCA